ATTCATCTATATTATCTTCTTACTTTAACACACTAACTTGTATTTCTAAAATAAATCTTAAACAACACTCATTAAAAACTGACAAACATTTATGTCCAAAACAAGACTTGAATCTATAACCTGACAATCAAGGAAAAACTCTCAAATAAACTTGACACAATTTCAATTATAACAAAGACAATAAAATTAAGAAATGGCAAATTTATGAATTTATGTCAGTCAAACTTATGACTGACTGGCACGAATAAAAATACATGTTTGAATTTGAATAGTCATGAATAAAATACAATAGCTTAAAATTGACAACTGAAATGAAATAACAGTATTGTTTTGAGATTATCATATGTATAACACATTTATACATAAGTAAATGAATATCACAGAATCAACCTATGCTAATTTTTCAAAAAATGTTCAAGCAAATCATTAGTAGGAAAGAAAAATACTAAAGTTCTCACAGAAAAAAATTAAAAATACATTTTTAATGTATGGCAAAAAGACAACATATTCAGAATTTATTTTAAAAAAAAAAGGTGCTAATATGAAAAGAGAATTTATATTGCATTACATAAATTAAAATGTTACATGTTACCTATGTCTTTATCAAAAAGTTTTAATTCTATTATTTTATTCTAGTTTAAAGCTTTTTTTAATTAATTATTAAGGATATATATACTATATGTATATCCTTAATAATTTCTATTAATATAAACTTAATAGAATTAAAACGTTTTGAAAAAGACATAGGTAACATGTAACATTTTAATTTGATGAAACTTCTTTCCAAAATATTTAGGAGAAAATTCTCAAAAGATGATATATGATGTGTATTGATGATATATTTGTACATATAGAAATTTGCAAACTTCTGCATTCTTGAAACAAAATTAATATAAAAAAAAAGAATAAAATAGATAATAAATTTAACAATCAAAAAAATTTTATTCATTCCTTATGAAAACAAATATCTAAGAATGACATTTCTGGATATTTAATTGACCTACTCTTGATTTTGAAAGAACATTGAATAAAACTGATTCTATTCTCTCTTGAAATGAATGAAACATGTGTGTTTACATAACACTTAAATAAAAGCTATTCTTTAATCACTATATATGAAATCTATTTAAAATAAATATAGTTAGCAGTAAAAACATTTTTTTTAAAGGTTTTCTATTTCAGGAGATAATTCATCATTCTGCTATTGCAATTAGACAATAAAATATACTTGTTTTAAAAAAATTTGGATTTAAAAACTCATAAAATTTTGAAGACCAAATGAAAACAAAATTTCTATAAAAATCACAAAAGTATCAGATGACATTTTAACTAAATAGCAGTCACTTTTAGCAAAATTGAAAAAAATTTGGTAACTTAATATTTTAACATATTTATATCTTCTCTCTGAAGCTTATTCAACTAATTTTTCAGCCATGACTGCACTCCTCTTTTTTAAAACTCTTCCCACTTCTATACAAATTTCTAATTTTAATAAATACTTTTAATATAAAAAATTTAGTCATTTACATATTTTCATCAAATTTTATAATTCATTCTTCTATTATTTTCAATAAAAGTATATACAAAGCCTATCCAGAAGTGTTTATTTCTCTTATATATAAATATATTGCAAGATAATTTAGTGAGATATTATTCTATGTAACTTTGACTTTTGAATAATAAACAATGTTTTTGAAAAAATATTCATGAGTTATACATTTGCAATATGATAAATTAGAACAAGCTAAACAATAGTCATGCTATTGTAATTTGTAACTTAAATTTGCTTAGTAAAAATGATTTGTTTCTCTCATAATTAGAAAAATTCTCTCTCATATTTAGGATATTATTCGGTTCAAACAGTTGAAAAATACCTTAAAAATAATAAAACAGAGGCTTTAAATAATTCTTCATTTTTGAAGGTAAACATTGTAAAAAAATATTACTGAAAAATTTTATTTCATTGAATATATAAATTAGTATTTAAAATATTTATGGTAGTAATAAATCCTTCCTAGATCTGATAACTGCTAAAAATATACAAATTCAAAAACAAGCATCTAGCTATATATTAGAGCATTGATATTGAACCCATATTGAAAACCTTGACCCAATTTTCAATATGAAATTCCTGGGTTTATAACTGCTAAAAGGTGTAACTTTCTTTTCAAATTTTTAAAGCATAAGCTACCTATTTATAAAAAGAACAATTGCTGTTTTTACTTGCAGTTATGAAATATGTGTTAAATAAATATTTTTCATCAATCATATCTGTACAATGCCAATAAAGAAAATATCTCAAAATAAAAGCATAGATTACTTTTTAACAAAAATATACATCCTGCAATGCTTTTATCACATTGACATTGTAATTTAAGATATTTGAATAACAAAAACAAAATAATATATATATGTAGCATATTTAAAAGATTTATATCACCAATCAAATTTATTATCAAATATTTCTCAATTCAATTGCAACTTCAATTGCACATAAATATATATATGAAAATAAAAGAAATAAATTAACTTTAAATTAAAATTAACTAAGCTCAAAATGGCATGTGTAAAAAGGCTCTTTACACTATTACTCTCAAATTCCTTTCTTCTATTTGTACCTGGCAAATTTGCTTGATCTTCAAGATATGTCAAGGTCATTGGTATTGTCATTATTGTTGTCAACATTATTGCTTCAGGATAAAGAAACACAACCAAAGTATAATAAACAGATGTAAATTTATAAATTTTTATGAAACATCCTTTATATTAGGTAATAAGATTGCAATTATTTTAAATAACAAAAAAAATTCTAAATTATAATTTTTGAATTTACTCTTATTTATTACAAGTAATTTTTTAAATTTATGATTTGAAAATAATACTTTTCATGCCACCAATATTAAAATTTGTTTCAAAAATTTTATAATTTACATTGATAGATGATATACAGCAGTATATTTTTCAACAATATTCCTTTTTCATTATACAGTACTATATATTATGTTTTTTTTATTTATAACTTTAATTTGTTAATTATTATAAAGAAATTGTTGTCAATTTTAATTACATTTTAAAATTTTCTGAATAAATTTTTGAGAAAAAATAATTGTAATTATTAATAAAAAATTCTCAAAAGATGATATANATAATTTATTCATTATTCAAATAAATATAAGTGTAAAAAAATTAAAACCAAATTTCTTCTTAAATACAATAAAGATTTAACAATAAACTAAAATTATTCTGAATATACATAATTTAAATATCTGCTTATTAAGAGACAAAAATTTCAAAATAAAATAAACTTGTGATTATCCAGCTTAATGTGGAGGACAGCCGAGCTGAATAAGGATAAAAGTTGGATAACACGGAGATTGAAAATATGGCATTTCCTGTATAATTAAGCATGTCAGTGTATCCCATATGTGATAATGTTTGAATTCAAAATTTTCAGCAAAAGCAAGCTGGTAAGATATCTGCAATTGCTATTTGTGGAATAACCATATGTTTTTTACAAAACATTTGTAATCATATTTTTACACATTATTATTTAATAATAATATAATGCATTATAAAATTATATTATTTTGTACTTGTTTACAAAAAAATACTTCTTGACATGACTGACTGGACTGGTTAATTGTGGGCAGATGATCATGAGTCTACTGTATTTAATTTTGGAAATATTTTTTCTTCAACAGTTTCAGCCATTATCCTTTATATTCAATTTATATCTGATTATTCTAAATATTTTTAGCCTCTATACTATTTTGTCAAAATAAAATAAAACAAAAAATCTGGTTTATTTCATAATAGAAGTAAGAATGCCACTTTAAATACACTTGTAAAAAACAAGTGACAATATATTCAATTTGAATTTATTTGCTATAAAAATGCTCAGTTGGTTAGCTAAGTGTTGATAGAGCATCCAACTTTGCAAAAATATTTTATTTGATGATTGTCAAACTCATTACAAAGCAAAACTGTTGTTTATCAATTATTCATTTTTATTTTAAATTACATAAGTATAGTCTTAAAACTTCAGATTACCACCTCTCAGATAAAAAATAAATAATCCTCTGAATAATAAAACAAACAAACCAAAATAAAACCAGGGGGGGAAAAAACTTTTGTTTTGTATTATTCAACAATTACACTGAATCTGTTTAAGATTCAAATTTTATTCTTGAACAATATTCATAAAATTTTAATAATTTATAGGCTACATACTAAATGAAATATTGTAATTTAATTAAAATAAATAAAAATATTAATTATGTAGATTACATATATTACTAATTTAATAACTAACTCAAACCATCTAACTAAAACATATTACTTTTTCAAAAAATTTAATAAAAATTGATGAAGGGAATACAGAGTTACAGCCTGTACAGTCCTAATGACAAAAATAGATATCTTTATCCATAAAAGATAAATCAAATTACATTTATAATCCAAAAATAACATGCTTATCCCCATAAACTTGTATATGACGTGCTTATACACATTAACCCTTTCTTTTCATTAACTGCATATCTTTCTATACTGTATGACACTTACAGAATAAACTCCACATAATTTACTACTATTTAAATTGGACAATGTCTTATATCCTAATAACGCAGCTAAATCCAATACTAACACTCAATTCATATAATATAAATAGCATTGATCTTTCCCCAAACCATACATAGCAAACTTTATACCTAAAGAAATCAATGACAGCAGGTCTCACACTATCCGTGGTAAACAAGAGTATAAAAACACAACTAGTTGTGTATAAGAAAGAAAATATAGTTGTTTGAATTAATATTTTAAGAAATTCATATGTAATATTTCATAGCATATGCAGAAATTGCTTCACTTCATTATATTTTTAAGGTAAATAAAGTATATTAATGTTTTTCTTTGCAGCATCATTCAATGCTTGTCAATCTGACAAAGAAACTTTTATAAAAGATTGAAACTTGATAAAGATAAAGGTAAGAATTACTTACAGGTGGAAACCTGGCATTATATTTCTTTTTCTTACTCGGCATCTTTTAATCCTAATTATAAAGAGTACAAAATACTTTCACAGTTACTATGTGCATAGGCCTATATCTTGGCATTCATCTTGTCATTTATTCTATTGCTTTCTTTATATTTCAACATGGAAATGATATTTACATAAGTTTTGTTTACGTTAAATATTTTCTCGATAAGTTCTTCGTAGCAATATTTTATTCTTTATTTTTTTTTTCTTCCAGTTCAAACTTTGAATTTTATTTAGATAGCCTCACGTTCCTCAGAAATTTCAATCAGCGCTATCTGGTGAGCAAATTAAAAATTTGTTTTATTAAAAAATTAAAATTTATTTATTTATTTTTTTATAATTTTTTTTTTATTTTTAAGAAATTATAAATTTTATAATTTATTAATTATAAAAATATTCATTTATTTAAAAATATATATGAAATATATAATAAATGTGTGATATAAATTTTAAATGTAGGTGTCGATATGATAAACGATACGATTGTTGTCTTTTATTTAATATTTTAACGAGATAATTAGATATTTATTGTTTTTTTAAGGATAAAATTCTTATTGTATTAATCATAGTAAAATTATTTTAAATCGCAATTTTCTAGTTTTTTTATTTATTTATTAAATAATTACATAGCGCTTCAAAAAATAGAATAACATAGATAAAAAATTAGTCACTTTTCGGTAATGGTTGAGAGATCGCTAAAATCGAAATTCAATTAAAATTAATATATTTTCTTGTTTTATTGTTTCATTTAAATAAATGTTTTTGAACTTATCCAAGAAATATATCAAATAAGAGCGAATATTTCTTTAAATTTAAACCTTATTTCTCTTATTGACGAACTATAATAGAAGGAATCCAAAGTTTAGTAACACGATAGAAAAGTACCGGATATTTTGCATAATAATATTTTTAGAAATATTATCTGTAATGTTATTAACGTTACATCCTGTGTATTACAGATATTTATAAAATATTATGTATTTTATTTATATAATTTCGTTAATATTTTAAATATAACCAGAGTCGATAGATATACTGGTCTCTCAGCTACCAATAGTGCTAATGCTATGAAAAAGAGTAATGAATATTTCTGCCATTTCGAGCGCTGCAATCGCTTTGCGGCGTAAGTTTGGCTTGAACATAGGGAAAATCAGCTGTAAATATTTGAATTTTTTTTAATATATGAAATTTTCTCGTTTTTAAGTCAGATATTGTTTTTGTCCTTTTTAAAGAACTGCTTGTAAATACTATTTTAACTCTGTTTTAAACACTATTTATTCGTAAATGTCGTTAATATTTATAATTCTATTACCTGTCACTTTCATGATTTTAGACTTAAAATTGATTAGACTTCATTTTTTGCTTACAATTTGTGTTCATTTTTAAATATTTTGGAAAGTTTTCGTTATGGATAAGGAAAGGTGGTAAAAAATTACAGTTAGGCCTGTATATACATTATTAATATGGGATGCCTTGAGGATTCCCCAAAACTCACTCAATCAGGAAGAAAAAGAGTTGATGAGAATTATATAAATTTAATTATAGAAATGTATAGAAATGTTAAATCAACTGTTAAGATAAGATAGATTAAAGCATTACAAAAAAAAGGGATTTAGGAATTAGGATGGCTTTGGCGTTTTTCAATGTATATTTTTTTATTTATTAATATTAGGTGAATTATTGTAGTTTGCAGTGAGGAAGAAGCTAGAATATATGTTATTCGCAATTGATATTGTCTTTATTAATGAGATGGAAAGAGATTAGAGTTAAGCAAAAAAAAGTTAAGAACAAGTTAGAGAGGGGATTAAAAGTCAGTAGAAAATTTAGCTATTGGATTTCAGATATGAACTGTTAGAGGGGAGAAAGGAATTAGACTTCAGAATGAGTTACAAAATGTAAAAAATGGACATTTCAACAATTTAAGGCCATATTTACGGACAGTATTATTAAATATTGACAGTGATAGCAATGACAAGGAGTCTAAAAGAATGACATGTTACTGTGGTTTTAGTCACGTATATAGGCCTATACAAAATAAGGACAGATGTCAGTTAACCATCAATAAATCTTCATTCATATTCTACTTTGAGCGCAGAATATCTTATAAATTACCAAAATGTGTAAAACCAAATTGTGTGTCATAAGAAGTGTAATTTCTGATGTCAAAAATATAAAACTATATATTATAATATATAGTTTTATATTTATAAAATTGTATATTATAATGTATAGTTTTATTATAATATAAAAATCTCTCAAATATATAAATTATATCTCAAAATTTAATTGCTTCATTGTGGAGTTATAATTCATTTATATTTAGCATTGTTGAAATAAAGTTCACAACTACTTTATTTAGGAAGAAAATTTTTTAAAAAATGCTATTCTTAAGCAGATACGATGCCTCCGGTCCTATTTCAATGGAAGCATTACACAGTTACAGATACAGAAGAAAAATATTAGTAGCAAGAAGTGATATGAGGCTATTCAGAAGGCCGCGGGTGGACATGCTTGCGCGTTAATGCGGTCCCGGTCGTAGGAAACACTACAAAACTCTTCGGCTCGTTACTTTGAGCGACATATTTTTTTTTGTAAATAGGGAATAAGACGAAACGCTTTCCTGTTTACCATAAAAATAGAGTAATGGAATCATCCAGCAGTTCTTTACCCCAAAGTCGAAACTTTTGATAATTACATGATTCCTTCATTTTTATGAAACAGTTTAAACGCATCATCCGTGTTTTTCAATGAAAATATCATTAAAAAGTTTTAGCATTTTGTAAATATCCTTTACATCTCTGTTGACAAAATTTCACAGAGAAGATTAAGACATAAGACAACTCTAGTGTGTATATCCAGTGTACTAGAGCACCTTTAGCCGCCACTCGGAAACATTGAGTGACGTTTCTACTTCCCAGGACGAGGACCTAGGGGTTGGATTTCGGAAGCATTGTTGATGTTATGTGACGATGTCGTTACTGTAACGAAGCGCGATAAGTAAATGATTGGATGCGACGAACAAACTAGATAATGGTTCAATTGTAAATGTTACGGCGATGGGTGTTTGTAAGGATGTGTTGTAATGAAATTGATGAAATCGTCCAAATAATGAAATTCGTGCTTCTTCGCCCTTAATACAGTGGAGCCTGGGTTGCGTCGTAGACCAAACACGTCGATGTCTTTCTATCTTTTCGCCATTCCTCTACAAACACCGCCGTTACGTCGTCAGTCTTTTTTCTTAGGTCATCTTCTATCTTGTCCATCCACTTCTTTCCAGGTCTAAAATTCGTTCCGATTGATGGATTACTACTTACCTGGCACCGAGAACAGCTTATTGTACTCCAAACTGGGTCAGATAGATTGTGTAATCTGTGGTATATCTGTTGCTAAATATCTAACAATTCTGTAATAAATGTAATTATATTAACAACTATATCCTTGCATTTGAGCTCCTGGGATTTGAATTCATTTCAGAAGAAAGTGTGTTTCCAGGCGCTCGAAGTCCGGGCCCTGATGGGAATATATAAATGAGGATGTTTGTTTATTTGTTTGTTCGTTATATACTCCTAGGCCGTTCGACCAATTGTTATGAAACTCGGCAGTCACATTTACATACTTCTGATCAATATAATATCGTACATCCCACTCCAAAATATTTATTGAAGTTCTGTAAATCAATTAATTTCTTTTTACATTCAATTTTCTGATTTACACGTAGCGTTATCTGTTGGCAAAAAATTTAAGAAAATCATAAACTAAAAATAATTCTTACAAAAAAGGTGTAATTTAAAAAATATATATGTGTTACATTCACTTAATTACTGTGTCAGATAGCATATAGCACCACGAGTCAGATTTTTTTCGTTTCTGAACGATAAGCCGTGTTTATTTATGTAGCGAGAGTATAGCGAAAATGACATCACGAGCAGCTATCGCTATACGTCACTGAATTATAGTTTTGAAAAGCTTTCCTCTCGAGCTAAACACGGATGCCGTAATCTGTCATTTAATTCCAGTTACAACCGAAACTAGTGTTTTACTTAAAGAACTATAATACAGTATTTAAATAAAGATGTATACGAGTAAATAATTGAGCATTTCTCTTTTTGAAAATGTGAGCAAAGTAAAGAGATCGTAGATAGATAATTATGTTTAAAATATAGTATTTTCTTATTCTTTAGATAACATTCAGTTCATTTTATAAAATTTAATCCTTCTTAATCTTTCCATAATGTTTTTATCGACAGTCTCTTCGACTTTTTTATTTTCGCACTACAATATCGTTTACACACAAGCGACCATTTTATTTTACACGTGTAGCTGATGTAAAAGTTGCTTTATCTTTGCTGCAACAATTCCTTGCAGCAAACGTTTAGAAACGGTCCGTTACATTATAGCGCTTTATTTAAAAACGCTCTACTGTGTAGCGATCGAGCAGCGTTGCATAAAGACGCGACCATATTTTCTTAAATTTCTATGGCTATTTAAATGTATAAGAGGATGAGCTATGGTTTTCCTAATTATATTGTAATCTATGGTTTTCCTAATCATATGTAATAAAATAAAACAGAAAAATGCAAATACATCTATAGTATTTATTAAACAGATCTATACAGAATATTATGTACAAAACTTTCATTCACCATATGTAGCAATATAAATTAAATCGAAAGTAATTTTATTTTCGATTTAATTTATCTGCATTCTCATCAGTAATTTCAAATTATCATCTTATTAAATTTTTATAAAAATTTATACTTTTTCTTTCTTTATACATAATATAAAACTAAAAAAATGTACTAATAAGATTTTTTTGACAAACAGTAGAAAAAAAATTACAAAATTCCTTGAAAACCGCAAAATTGCCTACCAACCAAATGGAAAAAACATCATCTATCCGCCGCTAAGTGATTCTAGGGTCAGCTATCGGCTATTTCATACTTCATACATTAACTCTAGAACATAGCTCAGAAACCAGTATACGTGGTATCTATCGACTCTGATATAACAAATCGCTTTGAAAAAGTTATCCGATTTTAGAAACAGATGACACTTCTAGTTCCTCCATGCTATAGTGAGTTGGTAGATTTGTACATCTTTTTCCATCAAAAAGTTTATACTTATTTCTACATCTTCCCGGAAAATGTCTAAGATCTAGTTACGTAAACCCTGAAAAATTTCTGTAAAGGCTACCTCTACATATTTAAATATTAATAATATAAGTAGCTTTCACACAGTATTTTATATTGGACTAGATGGGGTTGG